CATCCGAACGTGTGTGCATGTGTGGGTATCGTGCGAGAGCTGGCTTGTAAGGGAGCAAGTAACCAGTATCCACCTTGCTTCTCGGTGTATTTGTCCAAAGATATATGTGCACTCGGCGATGCTATTTGGTTCTTTTCTCGGACCCAGTGGGATTTATGTGTATACGAGCTTTGTTTTCGCGCTTGTTTGGCATCGGAAAATAACCGTTAGTCACCATTCGATTCATTTTAATTGTAATGAAAACGGCCTCTTTGATATAATATTCAGCTACATTACTGTTCAAGAATTAATTTCAGTACCTGTACACCGTTTTTTCTCGAAATTTTGAACATTTTGAACATGATATAAAGCCGTGTTCATTAAGGGTAATAAAATTTCCGCGTATACGCAGCGCAACGAGTCGCTGAAATAATAATTTCGAGCTGCCCTTAATGGTTTCGTTGCCGGAACTATGCAGCACTTATTCAGGCATTGAATAATTTTTTATTTTTTTAATTTTCCCCATTTTTTTACCGAGACGGTAGCAACAAATTGTCCGGTGAGGAAATGAAATGTGCGTGTCTGGGAAACTTTTCTGCGTCGAAGAAACGAGCGCGCGAGAGAGAAACGTCACAAAATAAAAGAAAGCTACACGTTAGTTCGCGTTTTCGTAAAAAAAAAGTTTCTCGCTTTGTTGCCGATTGACGTCGTAGAGCGCGACCTTTCATAAGCGGAGAGTGCATCATGCACTAGAAGTCATTAGCGATCCTACTAAGCCTTTCAAGCTTCGCGTGTATTTCCCTTGTAGTGCGACGGAAAATGTGATTCTCGAGATTTTCTGGGTTAGCCGAGCCCCGGCCGCGCGCGCATATATACAAAATTTGAAAAACGTGTGGCATTCTTACGTTTTAATTACTCTTAATGCTTTTGCGAATTAAAATTTTTAATTAAAAACCATGCTTCACGCGCGAGCGCAAAAAATGATCGCGAGTCATCTCTTTTTCTTCGATATTAAATTCGAGGGAAATTATCCAACAACTTTATCGAAAATACTTGAAATTGCGAATAGCTCGAAAGTTTTTTGCTCGACATTCCAGACAAAACACACTGCAGAGTGTGTCTATATTAAAAAAAAAAAGAAAGAAAAAAAAGGAAAAAGTTCGCGCTGACGTTGTCAGCAACGTCCGCTTTTTCATTATCCGAACATTAAGCAGCCTGAGCGACGGCAGCGGTGGTGGCGGCGGCATCATCGTTGGTGGCTGCGACGGCCTCAGGACGTGACCTCAAATAATGCAAACAGCCGAAACAGATCGTGGCCTGGGAAAAAAAATTTCGCAAAAAGCAGGCGAAAGGTTGGGGTATATGCGCGAGAAGAGTAGCACACTTAACCTCGATTATCCCTCCGGATACACACGAGTACACGTTATATACGCGCTTGCAGAGCAGAGGCAGTATAAAATCGATAAGCCGGTTGGCTAGTTAGAAAAGCCAAGGTCAGCAGCGCGACTCGAACCTCCGGATAGAGTTTCGACTATCAAATATTAAGCAGCGTTATGCTGTTTGCAAGTTTCGGACCTTACGAATCATCTTGCCCGCACCGATGTGTACAGCGCGTGGCAAATATAAAACATATTATACCGCGCCGAGTGCGTCGCTGTCTCGGACTTAATGGAAATCTGACACAGATACTCGAGTGCTCCATTTGGCAAATTGAAAGACACATTCCGATCAATAACACAAGTCGCGAGAGACAACGAGGAGCAGAAGCGAACGTTGTTAAAAAATATATAAGCGTGCAATTTTAAGAGAGCAGTCGACTGCTTGTATACGCGTTTGCAGACGCGCGCGTTCGCCAGTGTAATAAAGCGAGCTGGACTCTTATTTACTACTCTCGCTCGGTCTTATTCGCGCGAGGCAGGCCTTACTACCGAAAAACAAAACGAAGGTACCAGACTGAAACGAGAAAACCGCACGCGCTGCGGCGGCGGCAGCCAAAAGGAAACGGGGTGCTAACAAATTACTCCGTTCCGTCTCTTTCGCCCAGCCCTTATATATGTACGCCCCGACGGCGACAGCGTGAACAAAATGTGCAGCGAATATTTCGCCACGCGAGTCTGCGTATGGGTGCTAAAATACTCGAGCCAGTCTTATTAAAAAATTCCAACTTCTTTTTCCAAGTTCGAAGTTCGTTTGCGGACGAATGCATGAAATGCCAACAAGTAGAAACGAGTTAGGCTCAGACCAAGAATCAAAGCCGAACGTTTAATAGTTTGAAGATTCATCGATTAGGTTACAGTGCGGAAATCAGGGAGTGTGACAACTTTGACTGAAATGATTATCGATTTTAGAAAAAAAAAAAACAAATTGTAAAGCTCATAACTTGTGCAAAAAATATTGAAGCTATTTTTTGCAGTAAAAATCATCGTTTTAAAATACATTCTTCACGCTTGAGATCTTATTGATACATTACAATAACTACTTATTTAATGACCTTCCATCATCCGACATATCTAGAACTTCAAGGTAGCGTTAAGTTATCAACTCATCCGAAAGCTCTAGAGAAATACAATATCTAGTGGTGTACTTTGGCGTATTTTATGTATCGCACAACTATAAACATTTTTAAAGGGATAGAAAAAAAGGTGGGCAACAATTTTGCAAAACAAGTTTTATGCTCGCCTTCAGTGTGTAATATCGCTAGGGAAATAACTCGGAACGAAAACTTCTTAAAAATATTCCCTCTCTTCGCTGTACTAGAGCCACCGCAGACCAGTAGATTTGTAAAATAGTTGGAAAATAAGAAACTCGACGTAGCACCTCGACGAGATTGAAATTTTAGAAGCGAAATTAATGGATAGATATATATAAACTAATGGATGCGAGGAAGGAGAACTTATAACTTGGTTAGAAATAATGACCAGCGATGCGTGGGTGCTGTACGCTGCTCTTATCAATCCTTATCACGAGGATCCTTTTATCGTGATTAAAAGCGAGCTGCGGTCTACGTCGCGTGCTATACACGTAGCGTATGGTCAACGACGAGCCGAGTTACTTTGAAATAGAGTAAAGAGAGATGGAGCGCGAAATTTTGTACGTGCGTGTCGCGATCGATACACACACTCACATAATCCCGCACGATTGTTCAAGGGAAGGCGAATAAAAGGAGAGAGAAAGAGCAAAAAAATTGTCGCTCGTATGCAACGCGCGAAAAGAGTCTTGCATGTATACATCAGTGAAAGTTGGAGTGAGAGAGAGAAAAAGCTCTGCAAGTAAGCAGAGGAGCTATGCGGGGCGGCGCGCGCATCTCCACCGGTGTGCTTCACTGTTACTGCTGCTGCTGCTGCTGCTGCACCTGCGAAGGTGAGCAAACGAAATCGATGAAACCTGGCGCCGGCGCGATCTAGAGGTGGGGGCTTATATGCTCTCTCTCTCTCTCCCTCTTGCTCTCTCTCTCTCCCACTGTCAAGTCAGAAAGCACATATACACACAACGAGGCATAAACAGACCTAACCTTTAATAGCGGCTTTTTTCAAAGTTCACTGTTCAAGCGAAATCGCGTTCTCGAAAATGCGTGCTGGCAGCAGCAGCAGCAGTGCCTTGTGTTGTATGTATAGAGCTGTTCTCTCCTGCTTATACTAGCGGAAATTGAAACGATCCAGACGCCACAGAGACGTTGCAGGAAGAATGTCTCATTCATTATTATATATACGTATAACACGCGCGCGGATCTGTGCAATTTCTAAGCGCGACTTCCTGGCTAATTAATCACTATTATCGGATGGCAACCGTACGTTACACACAGGACGAATTGTGCACCGCGCAGGTTGGTAGCATAAGAAGCTGAGAAGATCAACGGATGCCGTAGTACAAATATGAATTTCAGATTTAACGACGCTGCAAATTAATCATCTACGTACAAGTGCGCTGCCACCGAGCTTTGCACGAGGTAGAATTTCATACGTGGCGGGATTTTCTCTGATTTTACAAATACATCCTCGTTTGTCTCGACAAAATTATTGAAATATTTATCTTGCGAATCGTTATAATATAATAGGAAAAGCTTTTTTTGGTAATTTCGTTCTTCGATAAAAGTGATATATTAAGAAACTTGAAACTGAGATCAATCAACTCGAAATGAAATGTAATAAATTAATAGCTGCAAGCGCTAATGCTTTCAAACGCGGGCTTGAAAAAAAAAATAAATAAAACGTCCTCGTCGCGCATGTAACGCTCGCACGGACCGGTGAATAATTTATATGCATATTCGTTAACATGAGATAAATAGCAACAGCTGGAGTTATTGGATAAAATGTTTGCACATACGTATAATACGCAAGCACTTGTATGGAGGCGAGATAAAGAGCGAGAGAGACAGAGAGAGAGGCAAAGGGGAGAAAGTAACTATATAAAAGCCAAATACAGGCGCATATTTACATGAGAGTAACATGAGTTTTCGTAACGATGGCCGTATTTGCACACCGTCACATATATAGCGCGTCTCTCTAATTTGCTTCTACTACGCTGCTGCCGCGCGGGGGCGGTAGGGACGGGCCACGCGGGGGTGAGCGCGGAGGGGTGCATCCGAATCGAGTGCACGTACTAGGTCAATAATTTGTGCGCTTTTTCAAAGTTACGCTTTTCGCGTATATAGCGGCAGCTGCACCGAAGCGTTGCATACGAATGCTGCAACGACGCGCTCGCGCTCCCTGAACTCTCGCGTACAAATACACGCGCGTTTGTATAAGCTCCGATCGTGTGTCTGTGTGCGCGAGAGTTGGCAGGCGCACACACGCGTATATGCACGAGCTTCCGAAGAGAGTTTGGATTCATAATGGTTGCACGAGTACATTGTATATATATCTAAAGCTCGAATAATATTTTGAAGAGTCAAAAATGAAAAGGAACAGTAAAGAAGAGAAAGAGTCTTTTATAAAGTAAAGAAAGTGTTTTCAGTAAAGATCACGTCGACGAAAACAACAACAACAACAACAACAACAACAACAACAACAACAAACACTCACCTTAAAGCAGAATACTCGTCGAAGGCGAGTGTTGCAAGCTCCTTTGAGCACTGGCAGCGGAGCTCTCGTGCTAGAGCTTGCTAGCGGGCGAGCGTGACGGTGATATTGCAGCAACCGCGTGCGTATCGGGCTCGCGCGCGCGCGCCTTTTATATATACTGGATTATATATAAACGCGTGTGCAGCGGCGTTATATTGTTCGTACGTGTATACTACCACGTTCTCACCACGATCTCACTTTAAATATTCGCTGAAGTAGTAGTAGTAGGTAGGATGGGTCCCTGTGACTCCTCCGTATCTGTGTGCGCAAGAAAATTGTGCTTTTCTCTTTTTTTTCTTTTTTTTTTGTTCTTCTATTTGTGTGTCGCAGAAGCAGATTCACTTTTGTATGGAGCTACTCGCGCGACTCTCTCTCGAGCAGACGTTAGCCAGACGACTCGTCGGATCGAGCACGATCTTAACTTTACTTCGAATGTAATACAACAACAGAACGATACTAGACGAGTAAGCTGGCGCGACTGCGGGGATGCATAGCAGTGGGCAGGTGTATATATACCGCAGGTGTATACAGGCACGAGCGCGAAGGTGTGTGTTTATAGAGGGCGCCCACGTAGACTTTGTCGTCGTCGACAACGGGGGGTGAAAGAGAGAGAGAGAGAGAGAGAGAGAGATAGGAGCAGAGGTCAAACGACCTATGGCTATGCTCTCTCTCTCTCGCTATACGAACGCACACTGCACTCGCGCGGCGCCTATACGAGTGTGCGTATTCATGTATCGGTGCGCGTAGAGCTTCACGCACCGAAGCTCGCACGTACACGCGCATAGACCAGTATTATCACACAAGCTTCGGCTCTAACCTCAACTCTCTATCTCTCTTTCTCTCCCTATCCCTCTTTCGTTCTATCTTCTCGATAAACTGCTCGATATCCGATTGCAGACGACAAAAAACGGACGCGCACACAAGTCGATTCTTGACGATCCTCACGGCGGAGACACACGCACGTATACACCCACCCACATTGTGCCACACTTACTGCTCGGGCGCAATCAACACGTGCGACGCTGATGACGGCGAGAGGCTATACGAAAGAAACGACGAGCAGCGAGTGCTCTCAATGAAACTCGAGCGCGCGATACTACAAAAATGACAAATACAGTGTGAATCTGCGCCTGTGACTCCAACGTATTTAGAGTACGAAGAAGATTATAGAAATAAGACAGACAGATATTGAAGTTTTGCAGAAAGAGAGACGATGAAAAAGAAGAGAGGAAAAAATGAGGAAAGCTCGCTTTTATTTACTCCCTGTCTCTCGTTCTGTGTCTGTAAATATCTGTCTGTAGCTTAATTCGTGTGTTCTCGATTTGTGTGTATGTGCGTGTGTTTGTGAGCGTATAGAAGGTGTGCGATCGACGAAGTGGTTTGTGTCACTGTCGCTCGTTAGCTACCTATAGATATACGAATATAGATATATGAATGTGCTATATATACGTTGGGTACGCAGGACGTGAAGCGAGGCTGAGAGGGCCGTCGTCAACGTCGTCGTCGCTCGTCGTGCGGGAGTCGGACGAGTGAATACGACAATGCAATGGATATACAGAGAGAGAAGCGGCGTGATATATACTTTCGGCGGCTAAATGTGTGTCTGACGCGGCGAACGGTCGTCGTGTACTGAGAGAGGCATAAGCAGCAGAGGCAGCAGTAACAGTCAGCCAGACGGTCGAGTCGAGCCGAGCGAGCGAGCGAGCTTGCTGGCTGGTTGGTTGGTTGGTTGGTTGGCTGCTGGCTGGCTGGCTGGCTGGCTGCTGCAGCGCCGTCAGTGTGTAGTTTCTCTGTCTCTCTTTTGCGATAGCCGCTCGCGTTTTGCTGGCAGCAGCAGCAGCAGCAGTGCCAGTAACTGTATAGAGAGCACGAGAGAGAAGGAGCGAGAGAGAGACAGAGACCGACCGACGATCGATCGGCACGCGCAGGCAGGGGTTGCGCGCGCGCCTCTCTCTCTCTCTCTCACCAATACGACTGCGAGCTTATACACGCGCGCACACACACACACACACATTTACGTATATATTCAGCTCGCTCTTTCTCGCTTTTTCGCCCTGTAACTCTATCTCCCTTTCCCAAAAGAGGGGCGGGGCGAAAGCCGAGCAGACCCGTGTCAGCTGGTTCTTGGCTCTTTCTTTCTGGCGCTTCTCTCTCTCTCTCTCTCTCTCTCTCGCTCCCTTCGTGTGTGTGTTTATGTGTATAATGTGCTGTAAGCGTGTGTGCACCCTTCGAGCTTTGCATGCGCCCCCGCGCGAAACCAGCAGCAGCAGCAGCAGCAGCAGCAGCAGCAGCAGTAGCTAACATGCATGTACGTATACGTGCGTCTGCGTGTGGAGACGAGCATGCTTGCCACTGTGTGAATGTATATCGGTGACCCGGCGAGTTCGCACGTTCTTCCATGCTGCTACTGCTGCTGCTGCGATCATCGATGTACTGCCGTGCGCACGGCTAATATTACTATCCGTCTTTTCGACATTTTCGGCTCATCCGAGCTTGCGAGAGGACTCGTCAATTGCCATTCGTTTCGACGCTTCAATGATTTACACGCGTTCACGAGATATAAGACATGCCAACTCTCGATGCAATAAAACCCCGTGCAGCTTGTAGATTTACAAATCCAACGATTTGCAAATTCGTCTTCTTTTTTTTCTGAGCTTGCAGAGTCACGTGCGTGAACTTGACTCGTAAACTGACCTGTAAGCCAATTAGCGGTAAGGCTCCTCGTGAATTTAATTATCTCGACACTTATTTGGGCTTAGAAAAAATTCTTGCCAAGTTGAAAATTTGCACGAAATACTCTACTGGTGCATCGATTCTCGATCTTTGATTTAGCGCAGCAAAGTCTCGCTTGACTAGAGCTATTGAGGGGTCCTCGTAAAAGATCCCTGGCTTCTCGGGCGCCTGCCCAAGCTTTTTACGAGCTTTTTACGACCTAGTGACTTTTTTCATTAGGAAATGCAGACCAGTCAAGGTATCTCGTCGATATAGACATCGACTTTTTATGGGCGAGACGCATGTTAACTTTACGCTGTTGTTCACTAATATATCTACTAATTCTACCGGTATCGACTGAAAGCTGCCACACTGCGAGACACTAAAGGTCATCGGTTACTGTTCATAGGCATAATCCTGCTCTTGATGTTTATTTTTCACAATAGAGTTCAGTTTTAATCGAGTTCTTACTCTGAAATCACCTCATTCAGAAGAAAATATTTATTTTTAAATTTCAACATTGTGCAAAACTTATAATAAAACAAAAACGAAATCATTCAAAAGCAGAATGAAATATAAAATATAAGAGATTACTTATTGTTTTGAATAGCATGCTGGGCAACAAATTTATAAGTCAGTGTTGTATGGATTTTGAAGTCAATGATTCATGATACATATATAGCATTACGAACGAGGGTTTATAAGCGCGATCGTTTCTAAAGCTTTCAATCATTGACTCTATAAAATCTTTATAGATTCGTGCGTTTACATCGCACTGAATGACGGCATACTTTAAAAATGTATGTAAAAAAGCTTGCTACACGTGAGTTGAGAGAGAGCGTATTACACATCGAAAATATTACAATCAGTTCATCGTGATGGGCTTCTCTTCATTAATCAGAAGCATATATAAATAAAAAGTTAGAAAGCTGCGGAGTAAGCGAGATCGATAATTCGTGGGCACGTTACAATATGTGTGTACGCTCGCGAGCTGTGAGAAGGGAAAACCTTCTGGGCGAGCATATCGCTCATACGTCACGGTCGACTCTGGAAGCTGCAACAGCAGCTGCAGCAGTTAAATCAGTTAAAACAAACGGATGAGCATGCCATATACACAACAGGATCGAGACACAGAAGGATGGAAGTCACGGACATGCAAACGTACAATACACTTGCTGCACGAGTCAGGTATATAAGCCCTCTCTCGACTCTCTTATAATGCACACGCCAACACTCGGACTAGTAAAAGAGAAATACTGGTAGAAGAGGCGGGAGGAAATTACGCAATTTCCGAGCTTTGTAACTGCGGCTGGATTGAATGGGAGATTCGTCTAACGAAATCGATCGTACACCGGAGTGCACTCGAGCCTCTCTCCTCATTTCCCTCCCCGCTCTTACAGATCTCTATCACACTATCCAATGGGTCCTTTCCCCCCTCAACCCTCTCCCTCCTCCTCCTTCTTCTTCTTCTTCTTCTCTCTTTTGCGCCACGTTTATTTACACGCCCAAGGATCTCTCATTCGAGGTACACTTGACAAAAGCTCTCTATTCTTTTCTTTCCTGTGTGTGCCACTGTCACTGCTACTCCAGCTGCCGTTGCCAAATGGTATTCTCCTGGAATTGGAATTGAGGAATTTCGCCAAGGATTTATGTAGAAAAAAAAGAAGAGGAAGAGAAGGAGGGGGGGGGTCGGAAAGAGAGGAGCTTTTGAAGGACAGGATATTTAAATCTTGGAAACAGACGTTGTTAGATCTCTGGCTTTTTTGTGTACTTAGCGCTTGTCTTTTGAAGCTACTTTATTATTACTAGACTTAGGATTAATTTATAAGATTTTTCATCATAGTTATACACTCACAGCCCTGCATATTGTAGCTCACTATGGAGAAAAAAAGAGCGCATAATTACGTCCTCCTCCTTGGCAGACTTTGCATTGCGCGAGCTATATAATACATATAAATTTAATACATCTTCATCGAGGGAAAGCCAAAAGTAAAGTATATTCCACTTTTACGTCGTCAAACCTGTGCCGGCGTGTGCTTTTAATTTTTAAGCTCCCAGTAGCTCGGAGTCGAGGAGCTTTGTAACTACGCTGTATAACAAATTGTCATCATCATCGTCGTCGTAGTCGTCGTCGTCGTCGTCGTCGTCGTGCTGCTCATCTTTCTCGAAATTCAAGCCACACATTATAGTCAAGCAGTGACAGTAGCAAGGCAAAATAACTCTGCGCTTAGAGAGCGAGAGCTTTACATGTACCACGATACGTGTTACGTTGACATACACACATACGTGCATGTGAACATCCGCGCACCCCTGTCACTGGTGTACGTAGCAGCGATACGTGCGCGAGGTCAAGAGTCATTGAGACGAGTAAACAAGTAACGTCGGTGACACAAGGTATATAGCTGCCGAGTGAAAGCCTGGTAAACACACCTACATACACGTCCGTGTACACGCGCGCGCGCTTACATTCACAAAAGACAAGCAAAGACACACGTGCGTGTTTCCATCCTCACGCGTGTTTCACCGAGAGCCCGAGAATCTAAGACACCGCTGCACACGCTCTGCCCCTGTGTGCAGCTCCGACGCTCGGGTCTCGTGTAAAGCACAAACACACGTGGCCAGCTGTGTGGGATATAATAATATAAGCGCGGGCGTTGCCACGCGCGCTGTAAGACGAGCCGTTGGCTGGCTTTTTTCCCGAGCTTTTTTGCTTCTTTGCATAGAGAAAGCTCTGCGATTGGTTCGAAAACGTGTTTTTTAATCAAGAATCGTAGGACAATTTCGTTTACAGATTCTTGAACTAGATTGAATTCCCAATAAATATACGTCTGTATGTTTGTTTGTTTTTTCATTCCGTTTTGCGAAGTAGTCCCTAGTATGGCACAGCGTTTTCCGACTACCTACACTGAAAAAAATCTTAGAGGTAAGTCCAACCAAAGTGGACAGCCGGATCAGAAAAAGATATTTTGCTGCCACAGCAAAATTATATTGGGTTTTATTTCAATGCTAAATTTTGCTAAATTTTTTGCTGTGGCAGCAAAATATCTCTTTCTGATCCGGCAGTCCACTTTTGTTGGACTTGCCTCTAAGATTTTTTTCAGTGTAATGTGGGAGTAGAGCTTCTGTTAACAACACTTTGATCGCCGAAAGGCCTGGCGTATTTAATCACGCAGCTATGTGAGACACTCATTGTCATTATTTCATCATTTTTTCCCCCTCAAGAGCATTAGGGGAGGAAATTATTTATTATAACCACTATGTGACTCCAAGTAACTGTCTCAGATGCAATGTACTCTTTGCACATTGCTTTTTTATCAATTTAAATAGAAAATTAATAATCCATTGATCAAAAGGAAATCATTAAAAAAAAGATAAATAGTCAAAAAGTTGAGTTTAAAATATTGTTTTGTTTCCAAATAAGGGATTGGTTAGTTTCAATCAGCGTTAATACATGAAAATAAGAAGTAGAATGATATTAGGAGGAAGCTTTTTGCAAATGAATTGGCAGCGGCCTTTTATGTGTGGCTACATACGAGCAAGAGAGCTTTAGAGTTGGTGAAACAGGCAACGTTAAATTGGAAAATTTTCTGGCGCCCTGATTGCAGGAACGCTGATCAATGTTTTTACGTAAAATTATCTTGATTCAACCCAAAAAGTATATTTTAAATTATATAATTAAAAATGATGATTTCTTATAGGGGAAGCAATATACTCGCTTACGTACATGACACGTATGCAGCAGAAAAAAGTCATACGTGAAGCTGAAAAAGAACTGTAGCAGCTTACGAGAGATTTTACAAGGCGTTAGTGATGTATATACCCCGAGGTTTGACGTGGAGAAAAAGAAAAGTATAGCTGAGCGCGGATGGGTACAGGGCTTGCGACGTACCATACGCTGTGCTATACCGCCGCAGCGAGGTAGAAAGCCGTATATCGACGCGCCACATTATGAGCGCGGTGATGAGCATGAGGCGTCGAGTTATAACTTTTCCCCGG